CCCGGTGGCTTAGAACTCACGCTGGGCGCGTGTGCGTGCATGCCCAGGATCCCAAGAGGAGAATGGAGGAGAAGGGATTGTGGCGTGGCCATCTCCCCTGGGGGGTGATTTCTCACTTTCTTTCTCTCCGTCTTTCTCTGTCTCTGAGAAGCGCACGCACCCTGTAGCAAAAACCTCTCCAATATATATGAATATATATATGTAAAGCTTCTGTAGACCACAGGCCTGACTGCACTGCCTTCCACATGGAACTGCTGCTTCCAACCAGGTGTATGTGCTTCTAGATCTTTCTTCTTCCAGTTATGTATTATAGATATCTATCCATGTAAAATACCTCATATTTTAATGGTTTTGATAACTATATACATGATATCATATTGGTCATATCCATCCGTGGCCTGGCTTTTCCACACAACAGGATGTCTTAGAAACATTTCCACATGCCACCATCAAAATCAACCACGTGGAGCCAACAGATGGCATAGCGGTTATGTTGCTGGACTCCCACATGGCCGACCGTGGTTTGAGTCTCAGACCCGGTGGCTTGAAATTCACTCTGGGCGCATGTGTGTATGTACCCCAAATCTCAGGAGGAAATGGAGAAGAGATTGCAGTGTGGTCATCCCCCCCCACCCGAAGGAGTGATTTCTCACTTTCCCTCTCACTATCTCTGTATCTCTCTCTCTCTCTCTCTGGCGAGCACATGTACTGTAAGCAAAAACCTCTAAAAAAAATGAATCAAGCTCTTTCTTCTGAACCCCGGGGTCGGGTCCCACTGAATGGATATACCACTTATCTAACTATGATCCAAACGAGGAACGTGAGGCGTTTCCAAGCTTCTCCTTGGGCTGATGAACATCCTTGCTCAAGGCTCTTTGCAGGAGTTCACTGGATCAGAAAGTGAAAATGTGTTAAGGCAGAGATGGTACCAAGGCCAGCGGCCCAGCAGTACTTCCCCTCCCGTGCCCAGGCCATGGGGACCCTTCCTCTGCCTTTGCCAGCTAGTCCCACTTGGACCCCCAGGATAACCACACTTTCACCCTGGAGAAACAGACCAGCCTGGGGTCCATGAGGACAAGTCTCCACTCCATCTTAGAGGCCCATCCCCGTACCTGGGAGAGGGCTCGCAGAGGTGAGGGGTGCAGGACTCCACCGTCCTCGCGTCCTCTTGTTGTCCACCTCCCTTCTTGCCAGCCCCGGGGTAACTCGATCTGGGTCAGCTGGTGGAGTATGAGGTAGCGTCTAGCTGAGCGTCATGGTCTTTCATTAAGTCCGAAATGTGATCGCTACTGTTGTCACACTTTAGCGCCCCCAACAATCCCCTTGCAAATGAGAAAAACAGAACCTCCCCAAATACCTTTCCCCTGACATCAAGGAAGCGCATGGAGCCCTGCCCAGGGGCCTGAGTCTGCGCGACCCCCTGAGGGGCTTTGGAGCTCCAGGAAGGACTGGGAGGCCTGCTCTTCCAGGTTCGGGCAAAGCCAAGGATGGAGGAATCTGCTTTTCATTTGCTTTTCTCTGCCCCTTGGTCCGAGAAGCCAGCATTGCTTTTTAAATACAGTTCACTTTCGCTCAGATAGGAGTCCCGACCTTCCCTCGGTGTATGATGGCTATGGCCCACAGGTCTCAAACTCAGATGCTTACAGGGGTAAGCAGGTCACTGCACAGGGGTGCCCAGGTGAGAGGCAGCAGCTGAGCTCAGCTCGAAGGGACTGTCGGCAGACTAGAAATTTTGACGCGTACCTGAAAATCTGGAGGGAGAGAGAGTGTAAGAACGAGAGAGGAGAGAGAGAAAGAGAGAAAGAGAGAACCGCCCAGGTAGTGCCAGTCCTCCGACCTGCTGAGGCCCTCCTGAGCTTCGGGCTGATCCGACCTGGGATCCAAAATGCCACCACCATGTGGGTCTCACTACACCACGTTGTCAGAGAGAAAGACAGAGATGGGCAACCCCAACAGGGCCCCATGCTATGGTCCACCCCAGCCCTAGCCAGCCTGGGTCACAGGCACACATGGGTGTCCCCAGCATGTACAAGGACGCCCCAGGCCAAAACCCCAGGGTTTCCCCATGCAGGCCCACACCTGCACCACCTCCTACCCACTCCCCAATTTTTTAGACACAGAGTGGGCTACGTGAATGTGCCTCCAGGCCAGTAGCCTGGAGAAATTGCTGGGGCCAGCAGGCGGCATGGTGGTAAAGGCACTGGACTCCCCCATGGTCAGCCGTGGTTCGAATTCCGGACCTGGCGGCTTGCTTTCTCCCTTTCTCTCTCCCTCTCTCTCTCTCTCTTTCTCTCCCCCCCACCCCTCTCTTTTTCTCTGATGAGCACACATGCCCTTTAGCAAAGGAAAATGATAAAAATAAATAAATTTTTTTTTTGAAAAAAAGAAAGAAATTGCTGAGTGCCTCTATCCCTCCAGAGCAGAGCTGGCCTGCAGGATTCCCTGCTGTGAGGGCAGCACAGCCACCGTGCGGCTCAGCAGCCTCTGGGCACGGGCCTACCCGGCACTTCTAGCCCTTAGTTTGATTTCATTTGTTTTGTCTTAATTTCCATAGGGCTCACGCGCTCACCGGAGAGAGACAGAGAGGGAGAGAGAAAAGGCATCCCTCAATGGGGTGTGGTCACACCGCAATCCCTTCTCCACCATTTCTCCATTCTGCTGAGATTTTGGGATTTACTGGAAAGTAAGAAAACACCCCCATGAGGAATGGTCACACCGCCATCCACTGTCCTCTATTTCTCCTTTTCAGACTTTGGGCACGCACGCACCTGCACCCAGCACTCCAGCTGCACAGTCACCTGTGTGGGATCCAGCCACCTTAACCCCCATACCACAGACTGACCCAACCCCCTCAGTCTTCAAATGCACTTTAAGGAGGCAGTGCATGTGTCAGGATTGATTTGCAGCATGCGTGGCTGCCCCAAATGTGACGGTCTCCACCCCTACTCCCCAAAGCCATCTCCCCAAACATCGCCATGGCAACAAGATTCTATGTCTTTCTAAAAATGCATGAGGTCAGGGGTTTGTCACCATGTGCCCCAGCAAGGCCCCTGTTCTTAAAGATAAGTAAATTCAAACCTGTGTAAAAGAACACTGATAGAAATGTTGAAGGTGCCATTTCTTCTCATCTCTGTCCTCCCATCCAGGCTCCAGAAGGGTTACAACTGATTTTGTTCTCAGAAATGAGGTCAGACCCCCATGTGCCTCTTCCCTCTCCCAAGAAAGTCTCTGCCTCCTGAAATTACCCTGCCACCAAGACGTGGACCTTTTACAAAATCACAACACAGTAATAAAAACTAGCCCTTAAGCAGCACTCACTGTGCGCCAGGCGCGTACCAGCCACTTTAAATGCAGCATCTCGCGTCCCACCCCAGCCCCATGGAGGGGATTGGGTGATGATCCCCATTTATCTGGTGGACCCCGGGGGGTCACACAGCTGGGGAGTGGCTGGATCCAGGACTCCAACCCCAGTTGGGGTCTGGAGCCTGAGCTCTGACCAAGACCCCAAGGTCAGAGGCTGCTCGCAGCTTTCACCTCACCAGCACATCATCTGAACACGCTTTAGGGAGGGAGCTCGCTCAGGACTGGGTGCGTCGTGCGTAGGTTTCATGGGGGACGACTCCTGGCGGCAAAGCGACAGGAATCCGGCCCCACAGGCTCAGGAGGAAGTCAGCGTGCTCTAACAAACTGCCATGTGCTCAGTGTCTGTACCCAGCCCCAGAGCATTCTCCTGCAGTTCAGGAAGTCAGGAGCCATGTCAGTTAGACGGCTAAAGGTCTCAGCAGGACAAGTTTCTTCTAGAAGCGCCAAGTGGTGAATCTGTCTCTTTGCCTCTTTGGCTCCCAGTGGCTGCCTGTAAGTCCTGGCCCATGGCCCCTTCCTCCCTCTTCAAAGCACTTCCCTCCAGTTACCGTCTCCTCTCTAATCAAGCCTCCCTTTGCTCTCAAAAGGGCCACTGTGATTATATTTGAAGCCCATCCAATAATCAAGGATCATATCCCCACACAGATCTGGAACTGAATCCCATCTACAAAGTCTCTTTCGCCATCTAAGGTGACATACAGGTTCCGAGGATTAGGACACAGACATCTCTGAGGGTCCATTACTCAGCCTACTCGTCGGATGGCCCAGCTTCAGTCATGATGAGATCCAAGAGATCGTGGGATCGGGGCCTCATCCCTCTCCACCTCTCAGACCTGTTTTCCTCAGTAGCTCCAGCCTAAAGCCCACCATTCGACCCCTCTGAAAGGAGAGCGCTTCTTTCCCAAAAGTCCCAAAGTCTCAGAGCTGGTTCTCATTGGCCCACCTGAGATCACATGCTCTTCCCTGAAGCAACCACTGGGGCCAGAGAAATCCTGGGTCCCTCCGATTGGTCAGGTCAGGGTCATGTGCCCTCCTTTGTCATCCCCACCCTGTGGCCTTAACCCACACAGAGAGAGATTTCCCCAAGGAAAACTGGGAGGCTATGGGAAGTAGAAAGCGTGTCGCTGGAGTTCAGTGAATGGCAGCCCTTGGGATGGTGCCATGTCAGGGGAACTTCCAGAAGCAAATGCTCGAAGAACACAGGGTTCACTGAGTGGATAGGAGCAGAAAAGCCTTCCAAACAGAGGAGACCCTGGAGCAAGGCTTAGGCTTCCAATCTGTCCGGGATGACCAAATGTCCTGGCACCCTGGGGCTTGGAGCGGTGGGAGCTCTGTCTGCACCGACCTCGGTGTAGTATTAATAGCAGGCCTCTTTTTCTTGCAAAACTATCTTGGTTGGATGATAAATTACATGGTCACCCTCCTTATAGCCAACCTGCTCATTTATTAGGAAACCAGAGAGTCAAAGGGGATCAAACTGAACCTAAGGACATCCAACCTTTAGAGGCAAAGCCAGGACTAGAACCCAAGACTGTGACATCCAGACCAGTACTCATCCATCCCAGCCACAGCTCTCACAGGCCACATCAGGCTAACCAGTTACGTTTCTTTTTCTCTTCTTGTCAAATTCTCCATAGGATTGCGACCAGATCCACGTGGATGATGTCTCGTCGGATGACAATGGCCAAGATTTAAGGTGGGAACTGGGGAGTTAAAGATGCCCCTTGATAGACTGATTATCAAGCTCACCGTTCAATAGGAAGGGGGCAGAGGGAGGCTGCTTATCAGGATAAGAGGTGCCTGTCTCCACCAGAGTTAGGAAGAGAGGCCGACTCAGGAGGCATAGCCCGCCCTTACCCTGCAGCCTCTTCCACGTCACCTCAAATCACTAAGCTCTGCTCATGTTCACCCATGTTTTTTTAGCTTTTGTTACTTTCTTACTGAAGTAATATGTGCCCGGAGTAAAACATTCAAACACACCTCTGACCTTGCCTCCCCAGACTGCCACTAAGAGTTCAGTATTCATGGGGCCAATAGGTGGCATGGTGGTTAAGGTTCTGGACTCTCACATGGGTGGCCACGGTTCAAGTCCCAGACCTGGTGGCTTGAAAATCATGTCAGGCATGTCTGTGTGCATGCCCAAAATCCCAAGAGGAGAAGGGACTGTGGTATGGCCATCATCCTGGAGGGGGGGGGGGGTGATTTCTCACTTTCTCTCTGTCTCCCTCTGTGTCTCTGGTGAGCACACACGCCCTATGGCAAAAATATCTAAAAAAAAAGAAAAAAGAAAGAAAGAAAGAAAGAAAGAAAGAAAGAAAGAAAGAAAGAAAGAAAGAAAGAAAGAAAGAAAGAAAGGAAGGAAGGAAGGAAGAAAAAGTTTGGTATACATTCTTCAAAGGTTTGTTGTATTCATTAGCATAGATATATTATTTAATATAAAAATTGACACTCAAAAATTTCTTAGGAGTCAGAGGGTTAACTTTAAAACACAATGCTCTTTGAGGCTGACCGTACATGGGAAGGTCCTGGGTTCTCATCCAGGGACCTCCCAGGTGTGCCAGGCACTCACGCACCCCTGATCCCGGGCTGTTGTAGGCTGGGATGGAGCGCTGCATCAGGACCCTATAGGAGTGCGCGCTCTCTCTGAAGAAATAAATAAGTTAAAAAAAAATGTTGTTGTTTGAAAATTTCATGAATGAACGAGTAGCCTACTTTCTCGGGGAAAACACTTGGAGGGCATGGCTTCTAGAAACCGGGTAACTGCTTCAAATGAGACGGTTTCCAGAGAACTGTGGCCGGAATGTCCCAGGTCTATCCCTGGAGAAAGCTTATAGAAACACAACTGTAGTTAATCTGTGCTTATCCAAAATTATCACAGTTCAACACCTCCAGGCCCATGAAAAATCTGATGAAACCAAATAACGTTCGGGTCACGGGACCAATTGCTGTAATTCACTTGGTGCTCGCTCCCAGCGTGTGTCTCCCAGCTGACTTCACAAGTAAATGAACGTTTCCGACCGGAGCCCTGCGTGTCTTTTCAAAGCTGCACAATCAGGAATGATAGGTGACGCCGCTTCATTTTAATTAGCCGTTTGGAAAACCTCTTCTGCCGTCCAGACTGGCAAAGCGCAGGGCTTCAGGGCAGCGGGCGTCTCCACTGCTGGCATAGATAAACCCCAGACCAAGGCTAATTGTGTCCTTTCCATGAAGTCACTGCTGGAAGCCACTCTTCCTTTCAAGGCGCCGAGCAGCCAGGGTTCTGTTTTTATGGTTTCCCCGCAGCTGGCCGGCTTGCAACGTAGAGCAATATTCCTCCGAACCCCACCTCGGGGTTCAGGACCTGAGACAGTGCTGCTCAATACCTCCACTGGAGAACCCACGGTGCAGGGTGCTTTCCCCCTCAAAACCCAGTTCCCCACTTATTCAAGAAATACTCATCGCGGGCCTGCCGGATGGGCGGCTCCAGCATCAGATGCCCCAGTCTGTCTGTGGTGTTTTCCAGGGAAGTAAGAACCGACCCCCACAGGGCTTTTATTCTGGGCCACGCCCTGGGTGTTTCCCGTGGGTTGACTCATGGCATCTTCGGAGTAACCCTAGGAAACAGGTGTTCGTGTCATTGTCCCCATTTTACATGTGGGGGACGTGAGGCACAGAGAGATTCCACAACCTGCCGAGATCACACAGCTGGTAAGTGGGGAAGGCCCTCCAGCTCAGGGTCTCGATGCAGGCACCCGGTGTGTTTTCTCTTTCCATCTGACACTTGTTATAGAAAATGTAGAAATAGGGACCAGCAGTTAGCGTAATGGTTATGTCGCTGGGCTCCCATGTAGTCGACCACGGTTTCAGTCCCGGACCCGGTGGCTTAAACTCATGCTGGGTGTGTGCACATGGTTCCGAGAGGAGAATGGAGAAGGGATTGTGGTGTGGCCATCCCCCCTGGAGGGTGATTTCTCGCTTTCTGTCTCTGTCTTTCTGGCTAGTGCATGCACCCTAT